TGCTGCAGCCCTAAATTAAATTGCAGCCCTTCTCTCTAACTACAGGTCTCACAAAGTTTTATAGCTTCAATGATTTCACCTGGGCAAGATTTTGCTTTTTTGATATTGTTTGTTTTGAGCTGTTGCCTGGGGCTTAGAAAAGTGACTTCAATATTTTGCCAGAATAGTATTTCTTTGCTTGAATTTGAAATCCATGAACACTCTGCTTTCTTGCTGTGTCCCCAGAGCAGATTGAGTACTCGGCACTTCTTTTCAGAATTTCACTAGAAGTGGTAGAAGATTTGGAGTTAGGGCCTCCCTCGATCTCTACCCTTTCTTTAATTCAGAGGATCACAAGCTGTTGGAGAAGAGTGGTGTCTTGGGTCCCTTCTGATCTGATTTATATTAATATTCAGTGTCCTGTAAGGAAGTCGCATGTGCACGTAACATCACTTCTGCATGCAGTGTCTTGGGAGAGTGGGTTCCTGGTTCCCAGGTTAAGAGCCTAAGCACTACAGGCACAGACCTAGAGCTCTGGGCGGGCAGGGATGGCTGGGATGGAACCTAGTCTTGTCCTTTATTCCTGGGGCCTTTTCACTCCTCACATGGTGGATGTTGGGCATCTGGCAGGTGCTGATGTTGATGGAGTCAAAGGAGCAAACTGGCCGGGACTGGGAAAAACAGGGTGGGAGAAATAATTAAGTTGGACATTATTTTTTTTTTTTGAGGGTATGTCATGGCTTGAAATCTGGAGAGCCTGAAGGAGATCCCCTACCCAAACCTGTTTTTCCCTTTTCCCTTAAGCCATGTTTAGCCACAGGCCCAGTGCCAATGCCAGGGGGCGCGCCCAGACCATGAAGGCACCGCGCAGCTGGGATTGTTCATGGTTGACTCCTGGGTCCCTGACTTAACGAGGGGAGCCAAGACCCTGCAGCCAGCTGGCCTGGATTCAACCTGCAGCTCTGGTCCTACTGACACTTTCTCTACTGGTGCCTCAGTTTCTTCATCTGTGAAATGGTGAGTACATTACAGCACTTACCTCTGGGGTGAATTTCTCAACAGCAGCACTGTTAACAATTTGGGACAGAGAGTCCCTTGTGGCGTGGCCTGTCCTGTGCACTGCGGGAGGTTTGTCAGGAGCACCCCACTCACCTCCTTCCACCAATCCTGATATGACAACTGAAAATATCCCAGGATTCTTAGGTCTCCTTTGGGTCTGGAAGCTGTACTTAGGCACTTTCCCACCTGACACTTCATCTCATCTGTGACATGGTCTGTGGGCCTTATGCTTTGGTCCACATAAGGCCACTTTAAAAGGATTCTGTCCATCTTTTAAACAAGTCAATTTTCTACCTTTATCTCTGCATTCAGTTAATCCTTGCACACCCTTTGGTTAGTATATCTTGAAATGTGTCAGTTCCAATCCTAGTAGCAATTCATGATACCTGCTATGACCTCAGTAGAGCTCTGATCCTTTAGCACAGGGAACGTGTTCTCGATTCTGCTCTGGATGATGTAAATCCATTTATTTTACTTTACTTGTTTGAGATGTTGTTCCTCATCTGTCAAATGTAAATGCGGACATGGCTTGAATTACTAAGTGGTTTTATTTCTTCATTCCCCTGATATTTGTTGTATTCTTACTACAAGTTAAATACTTGGCATAATATTGCTTCCTTGATCACACCACATCAGATGAGAAAATTAGACATTATAACCAGGTGTAGGGGCACACACCTGTAGTCCTAGCTACTCGGAGGGCTGAGGCAGGAGAATTGCTTGAGCCCAGGAGTTAGAGGTTACAGTGAGGTATGATATCACCAATGCATTTCAGCCTGGGCAACAGACCCTGTCTCTGGACAAAAAGTAAAGACATTGTGAGCTGTCTGCATGGACTCTGTGTCTCACAAGATCCATGTCCTGTAATTTTTCTAAATGGCATCTCTGTGTGGTTTTCATGAATGTGTGTCTGGTGTTTCTTTTCTATCCTTTTACTTTCAGCGTTTCTGTACCTGCTACTGAAATTATGGCTTTTGGAAACAGAATACAGGCAATTATGTATTGACTTGTTTTTCCCCCTCTGCACTATTTGACTTGTCATCGGAGTGTGTGAGTCCATTATGTTTAATGTCATTGTTGACCTCATTGGGCTTAAGTCTGTACATTGTCATTTGCTGCCTTCTAATATAGCTCAACTATTTTTCTTCTGTTGCCTTCTTTAGATGAATAAAAAACTTTGCATTATTGTGGTCTTCTACATACCTGTTCTAGTTACAACTTCTCATTATTTCTTTAATTATCTGAGAAAGCACAATAATCCGTGACTTCTTATAACCGACAGCAGACCGTAAATTCCCTGACTTCCACCTACCTGTGCAGACAGCCCAGGGGAGAATCAGTGCTCTGGCTCTGAGACACAGGGGGTGGAAGCAGGAGAGTAACTGGGTGGTGAAGCTGTAGCTGCAGAGGCATCCGGGCCCCTCACCTGCACTCCTCGTAGATGTCTCCTCCACTGAATGCCCGCGATGCCCTCTCCTCCGTATGCTCCTGCCAGAGTCTCCCCGTCTCCACAGACAGCAGCTCCACCCTTCTACTCACTCAGTCCAACACTGTGGGTGTCCTTGATTCTTCTTTCTCACACCACAGACGCAATCCATTAGCAAGTGCTGTGAAGTCCATCTTCAAATTCATCCGGAATCCCATCACTTCCCACCATTTCCCCTGCTTACGACCCAGTCAAGGTAACCAGCGTCTCCATCCTGGAATACTGCGCTCCTTCCCCAGCATTTCCCTACTGCCTCACTTGTCCCCACCTCTCAATTCTGTTCTCAGCACAGCAGCCAGAGAGAAGTTTCAAAAGATAAGTCCTACCATGCCCCACTTTTCAAAACTGTCCTCTAACTCCCCATGTCATTCAGAGCAAAGGTCAAAACCCTTCCCACACCCTCCAGGCCTCCCTGCTCTGGCCACACCTCTGACCTCATTTCAGTTTCTCTCTGTCCAGCCCTTCTGGCCTCTTCCTCCTTCCAGGAACACAAACACTTTCCTGCCCTAGTGCATCTGCACTGAAGGTTCCTGCCTGAAAAGAGCTTTCCCAGTCATCCTTGTGGACAGCTCCTCACATCCCTCAAATCTTCACTCAAAGGTCACATTTGCAATGAGGCCCATGCTGACCACCCAGCACAGCAGCCACCCCCCTGTCTCCACAGCCCATACTCTGGATCACCTGCCCCACAGCACTTGCCACCTTCTCACTCAAGCATTTTCTGTTCTTACTCTGCTTATACTGTATCTATCATCTGCCTACAGAGGTGTCCAGTCTTTTGGCTTCCCTGGACCACATGGGAAGAAGAAGAATTGTCTTCAGCCACACATAAAATACACTAATGACAGCTGATGAGCAGAAAAAAAATCGAAAAAAGAAAAAAAAAGTACATGCCCAATTTTTACGACATCTGCCACCACAGATTAGCAAAAACATCCTCACATTTGAAGCTGTTCTGGGCCACAAGCAGCCTGTGAGCCCCAGGTTGGACAAGCTTGCATCTAGAATGTATACACTGGAAGGCTTAAAACTTTTCTATTTTTACTTTAATGATGTTTTCTAAAGGCAAAAACAGTCATATACCTAGCAGACAACAAGTGTCAGTTGAATGATCACTGTAGGGCACCTCCCTATTCTAAAGAGAATATCTTTATTGATGTAGCCTCAGGCCCAATGCTGTTTTGTGGCAGCTACAGAACAACATCATCTCACACTGACATCAGTGCTGCCACAGCTTTTCTCACCAGGGCTGCGTGTGTGCCCTCCCTCCCTCCCTCCTCCCACACCAACCCTCCTGCACGCTGCAGCACACAACCATATTTTTCTCTTCAGGAGAGATAGCCCTGGGCCTATGGGTCCAATTTTCCAACCACATATGAATATAAGTTAGACTCTGCTTTATAAATCCATGAGTTTGGATTGGAGGCAGCACTTGGATTACTATAAATCAGGGAGGAAGAAGAGTAGGAGTGAGAGCAGAAGGAGTTCCAACAGAAAGTTACCTATGATGAGAAACTAAGGGAGCCCTCCTTTCTGCAAGTATCAGAATCTGCTTTAAGAAGGTTGGGGAAAAAATGGAAAATACAGTCCAGGAAGAGACCTAGAAGGAGGGCGAGAGGAACAGGGGTCTGAATATTTGTCTCCTGATACCTCAAGAACTTTTATCTGTGCAGACCACCATATGTGACATCCATGTTCCTGTGATCACAGATTATGGTGGGATAAGCAAGGGTCTACTGAAGGGCTAAGGACAACAGAGCTGCAAAGATGACCCAGCTGAGCAGTGACCACACAAAGCTAACCATGGCCTGAGCACCCACTGGGCACAGCCCCATCTATTCCCTCCCCTGCAACAAATTGGCACAAGAAACACGTGGACTGTGGAAGGTTCTCAGGTCTTCCATTTATTTTGTCTCTCAAATTTCAGGAATCTTTTCTTTTAATTAACCCATCAACCTCTCATAGAAATAATTTCAAAAAGTAAACTATATTCAGATTCTAATGTCAATAGGAAAGTAAAAAGTTACAGCTCAGTGCACCATGAAGTTGAGAGACACAGATGGAGACATCCCGGCCCCAGATCTCTAGAACAGGAAAGGTGACTGGGGAAGGAATGCAGGTCAGCGTGGGGAAGGGGGTCATGGTGGGCACGGGGCTGGGCTGGTCTCCCCACCTCCTCACATTATGCCTATAGGGACACAGACACATTCAGATGCCTTTACAGTAAGAGAAGTCAGGGTTCTTGAAGTCACAAATGGAAGGTATGGATAAATCTTGCCTCTCAGTCACACACAAGGCAGCTGTTTCATACTATTAAAAAAATTCATGAACAAATTTACATCAGTCACACTTTAAACAATCCATCACCAGCTCAATACATCCAAGTCAAAGAAACCCGATAACACAGCTGTGCCCACTGTTCCCCCCAACAACCCACAAACATCGGCACCCCCCCACCCTCCGGCCAGGATCTCACCTTTACAAGCCGTGAGAGACACATCAGAGCCCTGGGAACTGTCGCTGCCTGGGGTAGAACAAAAACAGAACCTGGTCAGAGCCTACAGGAAATGCTGTTAGCTGGGTGAGCTCCCCCATGGGCTCCCGACCACAATATCCCAATGATCTCAGGGATCAGCCTCCTTCATACTTACTTGCAGCCTAAGAGTAGCTTCCTCCTTTTTTATCTGTGGGAAGAAAATGTCCTGTGAGAGGTCAGAAAGGTGGCAGGGCCATGAGTCCCTAGAGGAAACTTCTAGTCTTGGAACCCAGAGAAGTTTCCAGAAATGTGCGACTAAAGACTCAGGGAAAGATCAGGAAAAACAAATAGACAAGAAATGACCACAGCAGGAACTTTGCGGAGCAGAGCAAGGCCACAAACCACTCAGCACCTGCCCCTCCACCCGCCCTTCTCTCCCCACCTGCCCCTACCTCAGCACAGCAGATCCTCAGAATCTAAAAAGAGAACCTGATTTCCATGTTTTATTAATAGTTGGTAATATTTCACCACATCTTCATAGAAAGGATATGAAAACAGTAACTAACAGAGCAAGACATCTATTTAGTGTAAGTGAGTGACAGAGGAGATGTGGGAAGGAGACACTGTAACGCTTTCATTCCCAGAAAAGGAGGGTTGATCTAGGGAAGGGGACTCCAGGCCTGGATATTGGGATTATGTGGAAGGGGTTCTTGGGCATCTGTGGAATTGGCCCCTCTCTCCCCCATCCTCCCTGTGCTATGCTTGGAAGTAAACAGAGCTCATCAGCTGAGCAGCTGGGGAAAGCAGTAAGGGTCCACAGACAGACAAGGGAGCTGAGAACAATCTGTGTCTTCCTGGTCTACACAGGGCAGCTCTCAAACTGTGGAGAACATGGTAATGACCAGATTCAGCTCAGCCACTCTCAGCCTCGGCACCCTGGGCATTATGGGCAGTCCATCACCATCCCCTACCTTTAAATCGAGAGATTCCCCCACAGCCCAAAGCTGCTCCACTTCCTCAACTCCTGTTGGCATCAGGCCTCAGGGATCATATTTCAGGAAGCTGTGATCACCGCTTCTAGGACCCTGTAGCCACTTGGAGAATGACAATAAAGAGGACCCAGCAGAGCTGGGTCTTTATTTACTTCCAGGAAGAGACTCTTTAAGGTAGGACTGTGAGATGGGGAGGCACAGGTCTGTGGCCCCATCCTCTCTATTCCAGGGGCTAGAGATGAGCAGCCCCTGCCACCCCTTCAGTGCTGGAATTTATAGAGTAGACTCCTCCAGAAGTTCTTAGGACAGAAGACCCTGTTAGGTGCCAAGGTGGAGAAGGGTCCCAAATGTCTTAAACACCTGGTTAACACTGCTAATTAGCTGAGATTTAAAAGTTAAACCCAGGGAATAGGAGAGGAGGAAGAGACAGTATGGCATCATGCAGTCACCCTCCTGGACGGCTGTTTATAGAGAGGGCCTTCCCTGCAGGGTGGGGTGCCCAGTATCAAGGTCCTGAATACCGCTACCCTGCTATTCTCATCTGTGAATAGGGTTGGACTTGTGTCTTCCTCCAATATAAACAACCAGGGGAATCTATCCACATAACATCTGGTACCCTAACATTAATCCTGTATTACTGTTTGATTTAATATTTCATATCTTATAGAAATGAACCAAATGGAAGGATGATCTCTTTGGTAAAGGTAACTCAGATGATATGAGAACCAGATTCCTGGGGCTCTGGGTACCTTGTCTTGATGTTTAGAATCCTCATGGAGGATACGGGGTTTACAGAACTGAGAAATGGTCATAAGGCCTGAAGCTCCCTTGTCTGAAGCTCCCTGGTGCAAAGGACCCTCCCTTGCACCCTGGAGTTCAGAGGAAACAGCACAGCTGATTCCCAGGGTCGCCAGCCTCCGGCCTCTACTGTCAGCCTGCACTTGCTCAGCATCCCAGCTGCGAAGCTTCTGGTTCCCAGCAGCCTCCTCTCTCACCCTTCACCTCTTCTGATCGGGGCCATTGACCACTTGACAGGCAGTGCCCTCCTTGTCAGTCTGCCTGGTTCCCTCCCAGGGTTTGAGCTTGACTGGATTCACCATCCCCAGCTCCAGCAGGAACAGGGGGAAGTGACTCGGCCAATCCCTCAGTAGCAGTGGAATCCCTACACGTGAGATGGGGCGAAGCCATCATTCTAGTCCCTCCCATGCCTGAGAACTTCTTTCACGTCACAGGTCCAAGCACCAGAGCAGGAAGTAGCTCCAAGTCAGAAATGGTTTCCATGGTAGTGAGGACGAGTTGAAAAGGGGTTCTGAGAAGGGAATGAAGGGCCTGGGCCTTCAAGTCAAAACCCTGACCCTAACACAGAATAGCTCCCGCTGTGCCAGTTCTGTGAAGGGGTTTCCACTCCCACTCACCTCTCCATCCGTCTCAGTATAAGATGCCTGGGCAGCCCCTCATGCTGCACAGCCATGGGGATCCCTGCCTCTCTCCAGAAGTCAGCACCACAGCTGCCCACTTCTGGAAGGCCTCATACCCCTGAGGTCTGGGGTCCCCAGCTGCATGTCCTGGGTCTGTCCCACAGCCAAGTCAGTGTGATCTCTGCTGGGTAGAAGCCCCCAGCCCAGCACCTCAAGGTGACATTCCCATTAGAACCTTCATGAAGGGTCACAAGTGCTGAGACTGCTCTGAGGAAAGTTAGAAGGCTGAGGCATATTAAGCAATAGACAGTAGGATTCTGGTGGGTGGAGAAAATTAAATGAGAAGTCCAGCTCTCAGCCTCCTGGCCAGAGGTCTAGCAGCAAGCAGTTCGAGGACAGCTTGATCCTGAGCTGAGGTTTTGTAGCTGTCCAGGTCTGTAGGTCCCGACTCAAGGACATGAACCCTTCCCCGTCGTAGGTAGACTAAAAGCGTCCTCCTGCGAAGCTCCCGTGTCCCCCTACGAAGCTCCCGTCTGGAGCCGCCACACAGCTGCGCAGCATCTGCAGGTGTGGGGCCCTGGATCTGTCCTGGGGTCAGCTCCAGGCTGGGCAATGAAGGAAGGGAGGTGACCCTGCCACTCCGGCATCACCCCGCCCACCTCAGCTCCTCCTTCCCTTTGTGATTGGTCACAGCAGAATTCAATCGCCGTCTAGATTGAAGGACAAACCTGGAGTAAAATGTCCCCAGCGCTACCCAACCCTTGAGGGGTCATCGGAAGCCCCTCCCACCACGCCTGGGAGACTCCAGCCCTTCCACTGTGCCGGGAGCCTGACGGCACTCACCGGCTGGCCCTGGTGGTGGTGCCGGTCCAGGAACCTCAGGGCCCTCAGTAACACATTCCCTGCGGTCATCGAGAACTTTCCTAAGGTCATCCACAGTCCTGTCCCATCTTCTCCCCCGGCGCCCTCGGCTTCACGCTCTGATCCTCGCCGCGGCTGTGGAAGCGCAGGAACCGCGTGTCTCCCGCGCCTAGTGGAGGCGGAGAGGGGAGGCCTCCAAGTACCGGGGAGTGCGGACCTGGGCCCCGGGAACCGCATTGGGGGCGGGAGAGGCGCAGGGAGCATAGGACCCCGCCCTGCTCCCCTCGAGTCATCACCCGCCCCCTGCCTCCTGGACGCACTCCCTCCGACTCCCCGCTGGGTTCCAGTCTCCCGGGCTCCCTCCCACTTTCCGCCCCGCCTCGGAGCTGCTCACCTGGGAGCTTCTTACTGTGTGTGGAGAGCTGGGGAGAGGACAGAGGGACGGGGACCAGGGGAGGGTGGCGTGGGGCTGAGGCGCCTGGAGAAATTACCTGAAGAGCCTGCAGACCCCGCGGAGGAGCCGCGGGAGGAGCTGCTGAGCCCCGAAGGCCGCCCTTTCCCTCCAGCCTCCCCAGCCCAGTTCATCCTGATCCTCCCTCACCAGCCCAGGCCTTCCCAGGCTCAGGGCCCACAGAAAAGCAGGATAGGGTTCCGGGACGCGGGATCCGGCTTCTCTGGGTATCTTGGAGTCCAGGGAGGATCCTGGAGATCTCCCACTTTATGAAGCCCACCCTCCACTCACTCTGACGGCTACTCTAGAACCTGGGACCCAATAGAAACCAGATAGGACGCCCTCATCAGTCCCTGGGGTAAAACAAGAGCAAAGGATGAGACATGGCCAAGGGATCAGGGAAATTCCTGAAGAATTCTCAGGAGAGAAAAACCTTCAGAGGTTGGCTTAGTTTGTCTTCCGCGCTGGAGACGCTCAGGTTGAAGCCAGAAATTTTGTGCATTTTTCTTGGTGGTGACATAATTCTTGTCCCCTTCTCTGCTGGAAAGAGAGCCCCAGACCATCAAATGATCCATTTTGTCCACCTCCTTCCTCTTCTCTATCTACACTCTCTCCCTGAGCTGGACTCTCCACCCACCCTCACATTCTGGAATAGTGCAGTGGTGTCAGCATGGCCCTGGGGCAGGGTTGTCTGGGTGCAAACCCTCTTCCACCACTACTTGTGTGTAACGGTGGTTCCAAACGCATCATCTGCAAAAGGGAAGAAAACAAGCACAATCCAGAGATATACAGGTAGGATTCAGTTAATTAATACTTCTAAAGTTCTGGGGCACTGATTTACATATAGCACAACGAAAGAGTATGATATTATCACTGTTGCTATTCCTTTAGTCCCTTTTGCCTGAGTATTTTCTTTCCTTTGGGTTCCCAAAGAAATTTGTCAATGTCAGCCACAGACCTCCACCTGAAAAATGCTGGTTTGTGATGGGATCTCTCTTTTATTAAAAGGAACAATTCGTGGTGGAACAGCTGGTGAGCCACATAGAATCCAGTTCATGCAAAAAAGATTATCTACCTAGGATTAATTCCATTTTAGTAAGGACACACATTTCATACTTCATAAGTCCAAAGTCATTTGGAGGAGATTACTTTGATTTGCTCATGTGAAAGTTTACTATGTCTTTCAGAGAGTCTTGCAAGACATTATCTGGCTCCTGGAGTGAAGATGATAGGAAGTATCTTCAGGGTCTGGCGTGGTGGCTAATGCCTGTAATCTCAGCACTTTGGGAGGCTGAGGTGGGTGGATCACGAGGTCAGGAGTTCAAG